GTCAAAAGAAAGTGAGCAAAAGAACTTAATGCTGCCACCACCAAACTCTTATATGATTGTAAAACAATTTGTAAGCCTAATATCACTTATTACTACTATGTTATTAATCAACTTTAGCTAATCTGGTGTACATACAAGGTACCAGTTAAAATATATCTAAATTTGTGGCTCTAATGTGACAAATTGTGGAATTCTTGCAAGATAGTGTACTTGTTGATAAGACCAAAGCAATTCAGTAGCCAGTGCTGCCCATTAAATCTGGTTTCCCATGAAGTCATCAGTCTAAGCAGCTTGATTTGTTGATACAGCACGCCATTTATTTATTCCACACATTAGTGTCCAACTCGCATTTTTATTGCCTACATTTGTAGGTTCCACTAACCAAACGGAAACAAAGCCGTACACACATGACAGGGAACTGAGATTGTTTCAAGTGTATAACCTTTCCATTTACAACCGGAGACTGGATTTTGCAGATCTTTCCATTTTGAGATCAGTCACCTCTGTTTGTTAAATTTGAATCATCTTCCAGAAGATGTGCTTAATTTATGGGCTACCTGTCCTTTTTATATGATGGAAAGTTGTAATGCAGACGGGCTTGAAAGAGAGCCAGGATATGGTCAGCTCTCCAGATTTATTACAGCTGGAGAGAAATATCTCTTCTTCTGTGATGAATAGATGGTCTCTACAAACATTTGGTTTCAGTTCAACTTTCTGTTGCCTGCAGGAACACAGTTTTATAACAGTCAGTTGTCCGTAGTCTGATGTTTCGTCATTTGCAGAAACAAGCTAATAAAATCTTGTACAAGTTGTTAAAGAAGGATAAGGCTCATTGTTTTCCATTTGTGATTTTGTTCTTTCATCAGCATAAGAAACTATGAGACATGATTGATGGCAATGCCTTTAAAATATTTAATTTGGCACCAGGAACTGCTCTGTATGCTGTGTGGCGGACGGTGTTGGATCTGTGTTTAGGTTGGAGCGAGTTATCCTTCTTTGAACGGACTTGCTTCAACTGAAACAGACATCCTAAAACTAAAATGAACAACATTTAAATGGCTGGCATTTGACCACAAAGCATAATATTTCAGCTATGCTTCACAGATTGTGAAGTTCTGCACCAATACGCAAAATGAATCAGATTAAACTTTATTTTGAGTGTTTTCCTAGATTTTCAGGAGAAAGGTCAAAAAGGAAGGTTAAACATAGATGGTATAATTTACATTCATAATTAAACATGTATCCTGAAGAATATATTTGATTTTATTATTTTTGTTATTACCCATTTTTTTAAAATGAATTTTTAAATGTTTTTTTTATAATGAAACTAATTTACCTGACTGTGATTTATTTGAAAAAAATGTATTCCGTTTTATTTTTATTTAACTGCATGCACATAATTTATTTTATTTAATTAAATATACTTTAATTAATTTAATTTGCTGCCTGTGACCTCTTTCTCTTCCATGCTCAGGTGCCTCCATATTGCTGCGCACACGAGGAGACCACAGAACGCTCCATTGGTTTGACACACGACACGAGGAAGGAGCTGCCAAACTGCCACACAATCAATTGGTTTTTAATGTTTTGAGTGCCCCCCCTCAAGCATTTAAAGCTGGGGTGCTTGGCTAATTTGCTGTGATTCACTGCGCTGCTGGCACACAGTGTGTGTAAAGGGTTGTCTGCTGTGTATGTAACTGGTCGTCGATTCGAGCGCGAGTCATAAAGGGGGGGCAGATTGGACGGCATGATCCACCGACGGCCGTGACAGCTGGGGTTAGTTCCAAGCAGCCGTCTGGTTACAGAAAGAGCCACTGGAAGACAACAGGGACGGGGCCACAGGGAAAGATATGGCCACATGGCTACTGCTGGCATGAGCGATTGATGGGATGTAGAGCAGAGCACAATGTGGCGGCTGGCTAATGGCCGGTGCCAAGCACTCTGAGAGGCCCTGTGACAGAGGGGCCGGAAGATGGATGACCATCAGGCGTTGCGCAGGCTCGACGGGTAAAACCAATATGGAGCTCGCATATGGTTAAACAAAACACAAACAAAGCACACAAGAATGTGATGTCCAACATGTCCAATTACACAAACACACAATACTGTGCAACAGTCATTCAGTGTGTTTCATTTGCGATGGGCAAGAGTTACTTGGACTTTTTTAAACTGGTCGAGACAAATCTTTCTCGAAACTTTCAGGTGGGATTGATCAAAATCAGTCAAAAACCAACGATGTGTCGACACACAGCAGACAAGGCAAAGACACAATATTAAAAAAAGTTTTTAGGCAACTCGAAGAAAGATAAATATTTGTCAGAAACTACAATTTTGTCTTATTTGTGGCTAAGCTAGGTGATTTCCAAAGCGTATTGTCCAGCACATAGGCAACTATCAGGGCTTTGCTATGTTTCTTAATGCACGATATTTTGTAAAACTAAGAAGCAGAAAATAAGTAACCATCAAAAGCAAACATTCTTTTCAAAGACCAACTAAAAGCCCCAAAGCAGCCGGAAAAAGACCACATTAAAACTAAATCTTGCTAACTGAAATCCAAACTTAGTATATAGTGGTGATTTAAAGCCAGAGGTGGACTGAGGAAGTAGGTGGCGATTGGAAACATTTGAGCTCAAGTTTTCCTGACCTGTTGTCTGCTCAGACAACTGAAAGCCAGCTTTCTGACCACTGAAAGCACCTCATCTAAACAATAGCAAGCCACAGTGACAACAATCTTCAGTGTGGAAGCAAAAAAGATTAAGTCAATTTCACTGTCAGTAAGTCAACAAAAAAAAAAAGAGAAAGTTGTGCTTCTCACAGTGGCATATAGGCTTTTCCTTTGTGTTGCCACATTTACACACAGGGTTGAATTTTAGCAAAACTATATTTGTACTATAATAGTAGAAATGTTATAGCCAAGGAATTCATATTTATAACACGACAAGTTAACATCAGTACAAGCCAAAAGCTGCCAGAAAACAAGAAACATCAAAAAGGTGTTGAGAAGGTAGGAGGGTACAAGAGGTCAAGTCGGATGAAGAGGTCAAGTTTGCTACAGAACTCATTCAAAAAGCCTGAAGGGGAAACTGAGAAGCTCTGAGGAAAGCTACCTCAAGATGGTGTGTGTGTGTGTGTGTCTGTGTCTGCCTGGAGGCCTGCTGTGTCCAATTACATGTTCACTGTCCCACAGTGGGAGGGGAAGTGAGACGGCTAGGACCGAGTGGTAAATGGCCCTAGCAGGGAGTCGCATGGCTGGTTGAGCTCCCTCCAAAGAGGGAGTACTGCACCATCAGCAGCGGACTCCAGCATCAACTCGTTCATGAGGTTGAAACTCACAAACTCTAAGGAGAGGCTCTAACAAAGCTACTGAAAACCAGACAGATTGATCTGGACAGAAATCATTTTCTATATCACACTTTTCCTGAACGAAGGGAGTTAAACTTTACAAGCCTTGTTGCATCAACATTGCATGAAACATTTCTTGTTCTGCTAACTGGGCTGACTTGCAACTTTCTCTGAATACAGATAAAATACAGATTTATATTTGGCCCCATAAGGTATGTACTCAACTTGTGATTTTAAGAAATTGCCTATAATCTACTGAGTCTTTTCTTTGATGGCTCCATTAACTGATATCTACTAGCATGATGCCACACATAGTAGCTGTGTTTTAACTAGGAGTCGCAATCGCTCATTTTTTATGAGCCGGATGCTCAATATAAGAATAAGAACCACATTTAATGTACGCGGGGTGCCATGAATTATTTATACATTTAGTTGGAATAATATTTGACATTTAAGCTTTGCATGATTTTTTTTTAATCTCCATCCATCTATCTAAGTGTCCATAAATCCGTCCATTTCGCCTGTAACAGAGGTGAGTCTCTGACATCCCTCTCCACAAAGAGTAATATCAAGCTTCTAATGACTGTGGCACACCCAGAAAACCTTAAAAGTCAGCTGTACAAGATACATAATAATAAGATATCTGAACCACTTCAACTGACTCCATTAGCTGCAGTGAAAGGAGGTTTTGACTCTGCAGATGACAGAGCTCCTCATCTTATCTCTAATGCAGAGCCCTTCTGCTGCTTTCAGCCGCTTGTATCCGGGATCTTTTTCTTTCAGTCATTATCTGCATCTCGTGATGTTTGGAACGGAGACGGACGAGTAAAGCGAGAGCTTCACCTTTCGAATCTGCACTTGCTTTTCCGAACCAATGGTCTCATTACTGCAAATGAAGCAACAACACAATTGTCCATCTCCCATTCCATCCAGCTATCATTTCTGAAAAAGACAGATACTTGATCACCTCCTCTCAGATCCACAGCTTGCCCTCCGCAAGGAAGAAAAATTTAGCTAAACTTGGAAAACACAATTTTCTTAAATTTGACAGAAAAGGAACAGACGGGAAAATAAGTGGAGGCATAAAAAAGTTGCATTGGCTGGAAAAACAAGATCTGCATCCAAGTCGGCAAGTGTTTGAAACTACTAAAAGTATTGATCTTATAGAAATAGAAACTCAAAACATTAGTGCAATAATTCTTTCATTTAATATTAATAATATTTCAGGGATTTAAATTTATGATATGAGGTAAAAATAATAAAAAAAGAATCCCAGTGGATTCGTCACAGATTTGAATGCTGAAAACTTCTCTTTACTTCGACGTTATTCTGTCAATTCAAGGAGCGTCAAAACAAAAACTGCGAGGTGAGATGCTGAAGATTATTCAAAAACTATTCCTCCGTTAGATATTGCACTGGTTCGTGCAGAATAATCAAAGCAAACTCTTATTCCAGAAAATTAAATGCTATTACAAATATATTATTTATTTCTATCTTGCTCTGGACAACTTTGGATGCTTTGGCTTGGATAAAACTTTCTCCTCTGGGTAAAATGTGCAGAAAAATAGAAGCCAGTGATGTCAAAAAAGAATACCAAAGAGAAGCTGGTCTGAAAATTGGATATAAAGACCATCTCCAGAATGCTGTAGTGTACTTACTGTCGGTTGCATAACATATTGTTGATGAGGCATCCATGACGTACTCTGGACCTGAGGAAAAACAGACAAAATGTGTAGTGACGTACATTTTTACGAGTCTTGGCTCTAAATGGTATCCACCATAAACAAATACAAGATGCTGGCGTATTTGCAGTTCATTCTAAGAATATTCCTATCTGAAGGCTTTGAAATTACTACAGTGAGCAAGATGGCTGAGATTCACACAGATTGAGCTATGCCAAAAAAGTTATTGAAAGAATTTAGAGATCTGGAGAAAGCCTGCTTTGACATAACTGCCAAGAGTTTGGCTCATGCCTAGAGTGTTTATTTCTCATTGCTCTCCAATTCAGTTCTGTTGCAATAACAGAGTTTAAATTAAAACAACAGCATCTCAGCATCACTTTTTATTAATGAAATTACCATGATCGAAGCAAAGACACAAGAGACACATGCCAAGCAATTACCAGAGAAATACTCACAGACACAAACTAATTTAGAAAAGGAAAATCAGAAATGATGAAGCATTGATAGTGACAGTTATGAAACTGGATGAATAGATGATGAACAAACAGAACTTTTTTTTTTTATTTGCAAGAGAGAAGAATTGGGCAGCTTGTAGCTGACAAACACACAGACCGGCCGCAGATCTCGGTAAAACGATTGGATTAAACAAAGACAAACACGGAATAATCTGCTATAAGAGCAATCAATCCTCTGAGCCAACACAAATGCGTGATTTGGATCCGCACCGAAACAAGGCTGATATTCGGAAACATGCAGCCAAGTCGGCTTGTTTACACATGGCACTGTTTGCTCTCTGCAGCTGAACAGGACAGCCGATTGACACATAGAAAGCTTATCTTTGATCACTTCTCTTGAGCATTTTCTAAGTAAGAAACTGCAGTGCCACCAGAACAAGGGTTCTTTGCCACTTATTTGTACACAGGAACATAGAAAAACTTCCAGGCCAGAATTTTGAGAAACTAAACGAGGAATTCATAAAAGCTTTCATCCTGATCTCAGCCGCTTTCTTTAAAACTGAGACAGAGTGCAGGCCCTGGAAGAGGAAGAGCATTCCAGCTTCCCTGTTAGTTTAAGAGATAAAAGGACTGCAGTCTTCAGACTAATACATATAAGACTTAGGGCTTTGGGTTTGGCTGTTCAAGATCAAAGCGAACAAGGACATAATGAGAGATGTGGTTAAAATCTCTGTTTGCTAATTAAAATGGTAGTGGCAAATTGTGAGAGATGGACCTTCTGAAGCTGATTTAGGGCTTCAGAAAGCAAAGAAGCAATTAGCAAGACGAACACACCACTGAGCTGATCTAATAAAAAGGTATGCCTTATAAATAGTCATAAAAATAAAGGAAACCCATTGAATGAGAAGGTTGTGTACAACTGTGTATATATATATATATATATATATATATATATATATATATATATATATATATATATATATATATATATATATATATATATATATATATATGTTTTCCTTAGCATGTTTTCAAAGTGCAGAATTTTTCTTTGTTCATTGTATCAAAGAAAAAGAATGACAAACATCAATAAGGTCTTTCTAATTTATTTGCATGTTCAGTTGATTTGTTTTTGTTCAGAAGTGGCAACTTATTTAAATTTTAACTGAATTGGTGGCTACAGTATTAAAGTAGAATTACAGTAAAAAAACGAATGGATATATTTTCTCCTCACCTATCAAAACTTTTCAAAACCCCCCAATGTGTCCCGCTGACAGATTTGCTTCCTTATAAATGCAGTTCTGCACGCCGGTGTCATTTAGAAACAGCTCCTGTATCAGTCACATGACTTTCTGAAAGCAACACAGGGTTTTGTCTATGGGCTTGACGCATGCGGCAACGCATCGCCTACCACTACTGCCAACGTTTCTTTCGCTATCTTCATCATTGGAGGCCATTCTGTTGTGCCCATTTGTCTCTTTTTGTATTTGATTGCTTGTTCTTTCTTTTCTATGATGGTATTTTACTTTTACTTGAAACATTGAGATGAATAGAACTATTCCAAGCTACTTGCACAAGAAAATTGAAAAAATAATACAGGTGAAGATAATGGCATGTGCCCCCTTTACACATCAAGTTTTCCCACATTTATTTATGAAGATTCAGTAACTGGTTTTACTTTTATAAACCGAGCTCAAACAAAGTGGCTTCGCTTCTATATTACAGGAGTTACTGGGGTGCAGTCATACAACCACCCCGGGTTCAGTCAATATGAATGGCAAAATGTGCTCCATCTAAGAGAGCACCCAACCCCTGGCTGAACTTCACAGCTTGTTTTACAATTTAAAAGGGCCAATAAACCAAAAAGCTGGTCAGTCGGGTGTTCAGTAGCGTGGTTAGCCAGTTGGCAGCCCATCCAACCAGTCACATATAAAGCCAAACAGCCTGCCAGGTAGCTAGTTAGTGAAGCAGCCAGCTATGCTCTCAAACAGCCAGCCACATATTTAGTCAGCCAGTGAAGCGGTCTGTAGAGCCGGTGATGGAAACCAGGCTATGGCTGACTGGCGACACTACAGCTGAAATCTTGGTAGTGATCTGGTCTGGACCGGCTCCTGTCATGTGCATCATCAAAGTGTTTTTTTTTCCGTCTTACAAAGCCAGTCATCGCTGAAGCCCACAGACGGCAGTTTTACAGGAACACCAGAGCCTTGCTGTCGGAGCTGTATGGGCCATTTGCTGATTTGATAAATGCTGCTGAAAATAAGAATCACCTCAACAGAAACATAAAAGACAGAATTGCAAATGCCATAACATCTATGCACCTAGAGATTTTCATTACAAAAGGTAATACTTTTCATCATAAAATGAAATGATTTCCTTTTGTTTGCCATGTTGCCTATAACTGCATGCCCTGTCTCTTTTCCCTTTTCTTCTTGCTGCGTCTCTTTGTACTTTAGCAGAAGATGAAGGACTCACCTTCCCGCCATGCCTGGCTGAAGGGCAATATTACAAGGAGCGGTGGCAGAGCTGGCCGATATTGAAACTGTGAGGATTAATATTCCTCAAAAGCCTGGCCATTGTTTTTGATAAATCAATTTGGGAAGCCTTCCGAGAGCGGATTAGAGACGTGCCATGGCCCGCTTTCCCCCCTTCCGCTCCCCCTACACCGCAGGTACTGGACCGCAGTTTTAATCAGCCGTGCATCAAAGACGAGCACAGCAACCTTCAAGAACACCTTTCCCTCTGCCCACCCACCGAAGCACTGCCATCGCTGCCACCTGAGCAATCCTTCCTCCTCTCCCAACTTATCTTCCTCTAAAACGCTCCCACCTCTCCTTTATCTCCTTTCTCTTGTTCTGGGTTCTCATCCGTCTGTCCTTGCATACCAAACAGAGCCGATGTCAAATGATAGCATCAGAGCGAAAGGGCATGGCGGTGGGGCCTCCTCATGTTTAGATTTAGGAAAAAGGGTGTTGCATGAAATGTGCAGCGACGGGAAATGGTTGATGCTCCCAGCATATCACAAAGCCAATTTTCACGTTCCTGTTCTGTTCTGTTGCATTACTCCACACATCACAGCCACGGGGAATGTGGAAAATTTACTCTGAAAGAGGAGGCGATTGTGGTGAAGGTAGAGAAAATAAAATAAAATGAAAAAAGCAGCAGCAGAGAGCACATAGAGAAGTCAGACAACTGAATGGGAGGATACTAGATACTTTTCACAATTTCACCAACAAGCACAGATTTCCCTCAGATGCTTCCTCCATGTCCTCATAGGATTTCAGCTCTACTTAAAGCAAAATTTGCAAACATGCACCAAGAATCTCAAGTATTTAGGATTGTCAGCTGCTACAATCAAAATGTTTGACTGAGTGATTAAATGTAAAAGTCCTTCTAACATGAAGGATCTGATTTTGCTCCTTTTTAAATTCAGAAAGCTTCAAATTAATTGCAAATTATTGTTAAACAGTAATAATGGAATCTTGCAATTCTTTAAGAGGCTTTCTAAAGAAATCTAAAATTATAATAAATACACAGAAATCATGTAAATCTAATTATGTGAAAGAGATCATTTAATGAATAGTTTTAAAAAAATGATTTTTATGGCACACCAAAGAGAATTACATTAAAACAATATATAAATGGAAAATTATTACACTGTGGATGGGCAAGTTTTTTTTGTTCTCTCCTTTATCAGCCTTTTCTTGATGCCAATTTTTATGTTGGTTATTTTCTCATGCGTCTTGTGATTCCCATGCACACAACAAGCACAGCTTGGACAGTGGAGAGAAACAACCAGAGGAGAGAAGAGGACCTCATGCTGTTTGCAGCTCATTTCCTTTCTAACATCCCCGCACACAAAGAAAACTTCTCAATAGCGCATGCAGGCAGCGATCCACCATAAAGTGGCACATTATGACCTACCTGATATGTGGAAACAGGGGAAGCAGCAATGAAAGGCGTGATGGAGGTCTGTGCGATCATGCGGTTGGTGGCGATGCTGTAAGGCGAGGAGTAGAAACTGAGAAGAGAACAAAAGGAGCCAAAATGGAAAAAGTTAAAACCAAGCAAAAGCTGTCCTAATTACGACATGTAATATAATAGAAAAATGCAGTGATTTACAAAGTTAAAATTGAGACTGCAGAAAATACTTCAGTTAAATTATTCCTCAATTATGAAAAAAAAAATTGACATTAATGGAATAGTGCAAAGATGTTAAACTTTGGCGCTACCTGACAGTAACGTTTGTAATTCTTTATTTTTGTTTATACAGACCCACAATCATATTGTGCATTGAGTTTTGGACACAAAACTTTTCTGGTTCTATCGCAGCATTTGAATCAGGTTGTGGTTTGTATTTTCACTACGACACTGGATCCCCTCGATTGATTTCTTTTCAGCCATTCTGTTGTAGTTGTGCAGCTGCGTTTTGGATCATTTTCCTGTTGATGACCCAGTTTCGCAAACTTCAGTGTAACTGACATTTGACTCCAGAATACTTTTGCATACAGAGGATCTAATTGTTGACTATTTTTAGTATTTGTACTAAAATGGTTTACATCGGATCCCCTAATAACATTTAACTACCAGCTTTAACAGCTCAAATACCAATTATACCTTAATATGCATCGATATTCACAGTGGAAACCATTTTAGGAAGCTAATATCTACAATCTTCCTTATTCCTGCTCCTGGGGGAACTGCCAATCAGCAAAAAGTAAAATAAATTGTGTTTCTGGATTGACTCTTTTCCAAAAACCAGCAAGATTGCAACTGAGTTTTTCAGCTTCCCATTCTGAATTTTCTGTTGAATATTTTCACAAATAGACATGTTTTCCAAGAATACTGAACCGCAAACAGGAAGGGGTTTACTGTATTTGGTTTTCTTAAAACAAGGTAATGTACAGCAAGATGTGATCTTCTTTGTCCTCGTCTGCTCGAAGTCATGTGGTTCAGTCAGAAAACATTGAGAAAGCCTGAATCGTTATGTCAGGCTGTTTAGAAAAGGAGATTTTCTTCTTAAACTTCTCCAAACCTACCTAATCTAACACCTACCCTTTTCTCCTGTTGCTACGCTCTCAGTTAAGGTAGTGCTTAGACAATTTCAGTGAGAACAGAGACCATTCTCAGTGTTGGAAACAAAAATGCATGCATAGGTTTGTATGAGACATATAAACACTCAATCTTGTAGTTGAAGTCAGAATGCAATATTGTTATTCTTGTTTCAATCATAAAATTATGTTGAAATCAGTGCATCTGAATGGATCAAATAAAATTTTGCCATCATTTAGTGTGACAATATATATTAACCAGTGTCTTTTTAAAAAGTTTAAACAAATACCTCTTATGTAAAAGTAACATAAATGCGCTGCAACGTTTTGTTCCTGAGCTAAACACATCCATAAAACTGCAGGTTTATTTATTTTCGTGTTTTATCTCGTTTCCTCAAGGCCACAAAATAAAAACAGTATGGAGCATAACAAATTATATTTAAATGGCTCTTGTCTAGGCAAACAAAATTAGTCGGTTTGTGCATGGTCTGTAACTAAAGATCAGAACATCATTTGCTAAAATGTTTTCAGACTCACTTATAATAATTACTTGATAACTTGACACCCAAATTACATGTGCAAGAGACAGCCAAATAGTTAGATCACATGTTATCAAAAAGTCATTTGAAATGTGTTAAATTATGTGCTAATATTCTAAAATTAACCCCAAATTCTTGATACACTCAACAGCTTTACAGACAGTATCTTACCCTTACCTGAATCACATTAACGGTGCAGCAGTCGTGTTTTCTATGATCTTATTTGTCTCTGATATTGTTATGAAAGAATTGAAGAACACTTATTTATAGTTTTGCATTATTGATCTTGAAAGACATTTGGTTATCCACTGCTCTCTTGTGACTTCAGCCAAACCTTTTAAATCAGACTGATGTCTGAACTTCAAGTCACTGGAACAATAAGATGCTTTTCTTTTCCTGCCATTTGTTTTGATTTTTGGGATCATTGCTCTGTTGCATGGCCCAGTTCTGGACAAATCTCAGCTGTCTGACAGATGGCCTCACGTCTGACCCCAGAATACCACTATACAGATGATTTCATTCATTCCATCTCACTGATTATCCAAGTTCTAGTGTTGCAAAACAGGCTTTGCACATTCATTCCTATCTACATGTACAAATTGCACATCGGGACGGATTTACATTATAAATCTTCCAAAGTAATTGGCTGCAAAAATATGCTTCTTTTAGGTCATTGCAGATGTGTTTCTACCAAGGTGTTGTGCTATCAAATGGAAGAGCAGCCAATAAACATTTGTTTTCAGCTCTGTCTGGAGGTTCACTAGTGAACTGGGATTAGAGCTTTTCAATGACCACTCCAAAACACTGATTTTATTGTCCTTAGAATCCAAACCCACAAAAATGCTCCAACATAACATTCCTATGGTTTAGAGTATTTTAAATCACATGTCACAGAGCCTGCCAGAGTGATCAAAGCTTTAAAACTGTGTCAATCTTGGACCTGCTCATTAGTTAACCACAAGTTTGTCCAAAGACAGAATTTGTTCCCTTTTGTTAAGTTGAATTAAGAAAGAAAAAGAAAACAATCTGTGAAAAGTGTATTTTGGCGCAAACATGTTGATTCCCAAGAATATTGGATCTCCCAGTTTTGTTTTTAAGAAAATATTTTAAAGACCTTTAGAAAGCATGCAGGTCCACTGATAAAGAAATCAGGGGTAGTTTGCATATATTGCAGACACTACAATGGAAGAAAATATGATCAATTCTGATCCTTTGACATAGTCATGCGAGTATACACTAGAACAATACTGCATCTGTCTGTGAAAACATTTCTTCCTCAATTTTACATTTCTGCTGGATGATACCAAGCTGATTGCTCTGTTAGTTCACTTTTTCTGCAGACTGAATAAATGCAAACTGGATTGTCTGAAAATGTAAATATTACTTTCCCACAAAATATATCCGTGGGATTACAAGCCTGCAGAGCTCCATCAGACAGAGCGTTTACATTGCAGGCTGTGTAAAGTGAGTGGCGCTGTTTGTGTAGGCTGCTGGTTGAGATTGACTTGTGGTCGCTGGGGGATAAGTGGTTTAGGAAGTGGGAGTGAAGAGTTTCCTGTGAATGACTGAGGTCAGGGGTAGACAGAGGGCTGGTGGGCTCAGCATGCTCTTTCCTGTCTCAGAGGAACTTGGAAAACTAAATATGTCGCTCTGGACATTTATTTCCGGATTACCATTAATTCATGACATAAAGACCAAAAGCACACATGAAGACACAAACAAGTAAACACACACAGGAAGGCTCACACAGCTTCCCCCTCTATGCCCCACATCTCTCATCCAACACAACTACCGAAAACCAATACCTGGAGTCTGTATAGATTTCCCTAATCAAACCGTAACAAAGTGCAGACACTACATTAATCTTTATGTATGACAGTGATATTGACTTGGTTTCTATGAGCCAGGAAGGGAGAGTGCATTAGTTGGTGCCAAAGATAGACTTCTTACCCATTCTGCATTGCAGCAGGATCGTACGTTAACGCCATGCCAGTCTGAAAGAGAGAAAGGATGTCAGGAAAACGTTCAAAAATTTATCTGATATTTGAATAATTATTTTGCTCAACTGTTAGGCTATTAACCTCTTCAGTTTATCAGCTGTTACTGCAGAAGTAATGGGATTTCTGACTTATCCAAGTCGATTACATTGATTAATCTACAAGTATGTTTCAGGAGACAGAAAATCATTAAACCGTAACAGTATGAAGCAAAACTAAATCATAATCTGCGTTTGTCCAAGCAGAGAAGTGACGTTAAAATGCACTTTTCTGACACACAAAAAAAGCCTTTTCCAGAGACCTCTATTGAATATACACATGTGTGTGTGTATGATGGTGCTTGTCCAATTACAACCTTAGATATTGTTCTCACAAGTGAGCGAGGAGCTCATGTTTCTAGACCGGAAGTGGTGTGGCATGCGAAACAATAAAGGAAGGAGTTGCTATTCTTACTTTCCCCATTGATGTTCTTTGCAGGAAAAGCATTTTGATGAGATTTTTGAAGGTCAATAAGCAAAGAGGATGTAATTTTCCTCACACACACACACACACGCACGCACACACACAGACACACACACACACGCACACACACACAAAAACTTGTCTCTTGGAACAACTGGAATCTTAGATCTAAAGAAGGAACAACTTAAGACTATAAAGAACAAAGACACATCATTACATGGTCCAGATGCAACAAACGGCTCCATTGGAAACAGCACTGCGGTTAGTATTTGTGAGCATAAAGTTCCTCAAGTAAAAGAAATGTATTGTTGTACTGCGACTTTTGGGTTTTATAGGACCTCTGTCAGTCCAAAACATCTGCTGGCATCCATGGAAATTATTCCATTAAAGTTTAGGACAACGATCTGCACATTTGCCCAGAGTAATTAGCAACAGCAACAACTTGTTCTTTTTTTTTTTTTTTTTGCACTGGAGACTTTTAATTCACAGATGCTTTATGCTGTTATTCTGCTGTGCTGCCCTATAATTCAATTTAAGTTGGTGATAAAGTTTCCAAACAGACTTGTGCTGATATTGAGTAGAAATTGCATTATGGCAAAATAGTGTCAAAATTGTAGCTTTTTCTTTAAGTTTTTGTCACAAACAATCACTCACCACTGTGGCCAATTACCATTAATTATTATGGAGTGCTTCCTCATCTATATCTAGGGTTACAGTCTATAAGTGTCCCCTGTTTTGCCGCCTTATTGGACAAATCACTGCGTAACGGTGTGAATATTAAATATACTACAAATTTATAAGTAAGTCTGGCTCGTTTCCGGTGAGAGTTGGATTCCGCCAAGGCTGCCCTTTGTCACCGATTCTGTTCATGACTTTCATGGACAGAATTTCTAGGCACAGCCAAGGTGTTGAGGGGATCCGTTTCTCTGCTTTTTGTGGATGATGTGGTCCTATTGGCTTCATCAGGACGTGATCTGAAGCTCTCGCTGGAGCGGTTCGTAGCCGAGTGTAAAGCGGCCGGGACGAGGATCAGTGCCTCCAAATTCGAGGCCACGGTCCTGAGCCGAAAAAGGGTAGGGTGCCCTTCTCCGGGTCAGGCGTGGGGGTTGGGAGTGTCCTGCCCCATGTGGAGGAGTTTAAGTAACTTGGGATCTTGTTCTCGAATGAGGGAAGGCAGGAGCGGGAGATCGACAGGCAGATTGGCCACATAACACATGACAAACTGTTGAAAGCTGCTAACCTTTCAGACTGAAGCAGAAGCTGTCAATAGTTGCCAATGTCACATAGATTATTTGCAGCTGCACATTTATTACATCTAAGCCCGATTCTTTATGCTAAAAATGAATTACATCAAACTCCTATCAGCTCGTTTAAATTCGGAAAAATTGACAAGTGCCAAAGTTGAGGTGGAACTTCACTCGGTCAATAAGGCAAACTGAATTACAATCGAAGACACTCTTTTTCTTCTTAAATAACATACAATTATGCTTTTATGAATAGGAGGAAATGAAGACATGCCTTTTAGAGGAAAAAGGGAGATGGAGAAGGTGTGTGTGTGGCTAAGGGCATTTTAGAGTCCAGGAGAGGAACCTGTGCCGCAATCCTTCATCTGCATTCCTGAAGGCTCCCTCCCGGAGGAGAGCTAATCCGATTTCTTTTAACAGGAGGCTGCTGAGGATGGCAGATTTCATCAGAATACACACACACACACACACACACTTTTTTGGCTATCTTCTCCCTCACTTAGTGCTCTCTACTTCTTTTTCTTCAACATCTTGTTTTCTCCTTCCTTCACTCTTCACTCCACCCCCTCCTCATCTTCGAACCCCCATTTCCTCCTCTTCCTGTACTTCTATTCTCTCTTGTTCATATTGCCGGCTACCTGCACACACAGTTCAGGAAACAGCAGCTCAAAAGAGCAGGGGAATCAGTGATCCTATGACCAGAATGAGCAAAAACACTGACCCTCCAGCAGATCCGATGAGGTGTAATCAAGTGGCTTTCTGTGTCTGTCTGTGAAAATGTATTAGCATGTCCACTCAAAAGGAAAGGTTATTCAAAAGGAATGCAGTAGCTGTTAATTTTAAAAGATTAGCTACATCATTCAGTAAACATTTAAGTGTTAAACATCTCTTTCAAAGTTTGTATGCGTCATCATAATATTGTGTTAAAGTGTTCATACCCACTGGACATTTGACCATTTTTTAGGTCACAAACTTTAAGGCAGTTATCTACCACTAGACGTTTATTTTGCCACAAGGAAAGTAGAAAACCCATCAGAAAACAGAGAAACACTATTTGGGGTCGAAAACTAATATTGCACATCACTCTGAACACACAACAACTGGGGTGGTGCTGGCAGCATCATGACGCTGTTCTAAATACAGAACAACTGTAGAATAAAATTTGATAGAGGCGGCAAAAGACGAGTTTGGATGATGATTCTACTAGTAGCTGCACAAGAACCCTCATGTCAAAAGAATGGTTTATGTCAAAGCAGACAATGTCCAGACCTAAATTTAACCAAGAAATATTAAGAACATGTAGCAATAAAATGCAGTTGTTCTCAGACGCTCTTCATTCAGTTTTACAGGGCGGATGGGTAAATGTTCCCTTGTCTAAATGCGCACAGGAGGGAAAAAGCCCCAATGACACTTTTGCAAGGCACCGTCTGAAATGAAGAGACTGCGGACATGTTTTGTTGGTGAGCATGCCTTTACATGTGTGCTAATAGCAGCAGCAGATATGAACAGCTGTTTGGCGAGGCTGATATCTCCCCTTGGTGCTGTGCTTCCTTCCATGTGCTGATGACTTCCACAGCTCCTGACCAGCAATTCTGCAGGGCTACAAACTGATTACTGATGCAGGCTGGTACATCTGGAAAAGAGGAAAAGAGGCAGCTACTCTGCTCAGGTATCTGAATGGATTCAAAACTGAATAGAATAAAATAAAATAACCAAACAGAGCTCAGCCACCACTGTGACTTTTGGAAAAGAAGCAGTTTATTGTCAGTTTTCAAACCTCCTCTCTATGTTCGGAAAATAAAACATATTTTTTTAATACTCCCAAGAGAATTTGAATTATTAAAAATATACTAGAGCTGGTAACTTCTAAAATCTCCGTATCCGAATACACAGAGGCATTATGGCTGCTTGTATTTTCCATTCAGAAACCAATTTGCTTTCTGTTCTTTTTCTGCCTGATGGCCACACACACACACACACACACACACACACACACACACACACACACACACACACACACACACACACACACACACACACACACACACACACACACACACACGCAAACACACACACGGACATCTGCTAGACTTTCACACAGAAAGAAAAGCCGGATGTTTTTTTTTTTTTTATCTACATACATTCCCCAAGAGTAGCTGCTTGAGAAGTGTGACTTTGAAAAGTTTTTTCTTTTTTTCAATAAGTGTGTGTTGGTGAGATGCAGGGAAGGAGTGAAACTGGGGGTAGGGATGGGCACCTACAGAGCTTGCGTGTGTTTTCAAAAAAAAAAAATTGCAGTGACTAATATGTTTGTCAGCATGAGCCGGCGAGAGACAGCACTTTCTAGGCTCCCACATTGGGTAGTTTACAAGAAAATCTGTCATATTTCTCAATCCTTGCCACCAGCCACCCTGCAGCACTCAACCCCTTGCAACTCCTGACTGATCGTGCAATGTGTTCCCTCTCTGTTTCTCTGTCTCCGTCTCAGTGAGTCACTTGCTCTTTCTCTCTCCATATGTTGCTGTGGGGTCTGGGAAGACTTCAAACACAGGGAAGAAGACGCAGGGAGACAAAGTGAAAGTAAAAAAAAAAAGAAAAAAGGGGAAAAAAAGCGAAACATGTTCAGAAAGCACTTAAAGGCAGAATGAAAGAGTTAAGTTTTTTTTTTAACCCTCTCAGGCTCAAATTACTTGAAAAGACTGTTTAAGTTGTTGCAAATCTGCAACCCCTGCCTGGAGAGGGTTAAAAGCCACAGGAAATTCTGTACAGGTAGACGAGGCGTAAGAGACTGATTGATGCTTTGGACTCTTTCTCCCATTCATCTGCATGCGTGGTGAGAAATGTCTCCAGTTCTGATAAACAGACAGACATGTAATAGCCCGTCTTCCACCTGATCAATGACCGTCGGGTGAATAACATTCTATTCATTATCCCATTCAAATTCTTTTGATTCAACTAGATCACGTCTTCAATAGTGACAAGGCTGGTACAAAACCCAATGCAGATGTAAAAATCTGCATAATTCACCAAAATTAATACCAACATGAAACATGGAAGAGGTTTAATATGTAGCTAAATGTTTGTATCAGTCCACCAGTTTAAACCTTTTAAATTTGCTCCTCATCTCTGTGTGGGATAGTTGGGTTAGAGAAAAAAAGAGGGGAAAAAAATAGATTGCAGATCAAACGGTGCATTCAGTGACCTTGAAATCTCTGTGGTCAGTGGTATAAACAACCCACTGATATGGCAAAACATTTCTGTCCTTCAACCAGGCGTCAATCACTGGCAGCACTTTCCAGTATCATAGCATCATGTCTAGAGGCTGGGAAATCCTCGCATAGCGTCCTTTGAGTCGGCCTTGGGCATCGTATCACAGAGGGTCAGTTGTAGTTAAATCTGCCTCCGCAAAGGTGTTAGAGGCAACAGGCCAAGCCTGATCTCATGAGGACATTGACAAAATTAAGGACATTTTGGTGAAATCTCACAACACATAAACATGCAAAATTTCTTTCTATAGGAATTGAGAAGTTGACAGGACTAACAAATACAAATAGTCGCTCTTTAAAAGATCAAGTGAAAGCAGCTGATCAAGACGTCCCATAGAAGGCACAATCTTATTTAAGTTGAAACTTTGGTAACTACTGATGGCTGAATGAGTGTTACAAAAAACAATAGTTGACACAAATACACAAATGTGGTAACCCTTTTTTAATTTACAGTTAGAAAGACAGAAATAACTCTCGATGGTGTTAATCTGAGTCTTTTGGGAATCCAGTTACTCAGTTTCAAAACACAATATACCTGAAAGGAGATTAAAATATGTTCATCTCTGCTTATCTGGCTTTATTAACAGACCTATGCATTAAAAAGCTGTTTGCAGAAAGGTTAAAATGAACAAATAAATGAATAAATTCAAATATCAAAGCTTTTACAAGAAGTTCAAAGTCCTTTTATCTGGAAGTTTGGATTTACTGTTAACTACTTCAATAAAGGGTCATGAGATGACACCAGAGATACTTTATTATTCACACAAGACTAAAACTAAAGCTTGTTAAACTTTTACATGCCTGAAATTATACCACAATAATACCAAATATGCATCACTCAGCACCAGCAATAACGCCATCATTGGAGGTCCAGTTGAAGCCTTCAATACAGATGCAAATATATTAAAGAAGTGTTAAGTATGTAGTTAGAGTTGACTGCCTGTGGAACAGGTCATGACCACATACTTGGAACAAGGTGCATGCAAATCTTCTCACCTTTGAAGGTCAACTGACCCACCTGAAGCGCCTTCTCCCTGTGAGATTCATTAACACATTCTGCACCATGTTGAGTGGGCACATCTATTATTAGCCCCTTGTGCTAAATAAGGTGAGCGGACATTGTGTAAAAAAAGCTTCTAAAGTAGTTTTCAAGGACTTTTTTGTACATTGTCACATTAAAACCATAAACCTTAACATAATTTATGGGTTTTAAAACGGTGCAATACTTTTTAAGGCCTCCTTTTGCTGAAACTACAGATGCACCGTTTCTGTTTTGTTTACGTCTACTACCAGCTTTGCACATGTAAATGTGGAATTATTTTTTTCCATTCTTCCCAAGCTCAGTGAGATAACATGTATAATGTCTGATTATGGGTTAATTTCAAGTACTGACACATATCCCTGACTTATGTAGGTTTTTGCATTGGCTAGGCTATTCTAATACATAATTATACTTTGATCAGAACTATTTCACAGTAGGTCAAGCTATGTGTTTATGGTCGTGTTCTGCCATGCACAGTTTTTATTTCTGCTTTGCAGTTATGAGCTGCAATGTGTTGAACTTGAAATCCTCAATAAAAGAAGAGATTTTATTTTGTGGTTGTAATGTAGCAAAATAGGAGAAAAGCTGAAGAATGCTTTTCCAAAGCACTGTTCATTTCGCTCTAAAATAATACGAAGCACAGGTATGGATCTTGTGCAACCAACCAGCATAAAAATATAAGCTTTTGGCAACAGATTTCTCTCCCCACACTTGGTCCTTGAACTTCGACACAGCATTTTGTGAAAAGGCAAAGTAATGTGAAACAATGTGAGTAAAGGCTACCAGAGGGGAAGCTGAGATATCTACCAGGAATAGAGAACATGAAAATATTTTGAACTGAGACCCAAATCCCTGCTCTGAGATTTTAAACTTGATGTTTAAATGGGTCTTCAGTGTACATTTGAATTAAGCTTCAAGCTAGCTAGCTTATGATACTGTGCTTCAGTGTATTTTTTGTTCAGCTCAGCCTTTGGCTGAACTCAGATCTATGCACAAACTCTGGGTTTCTGTTATTTCTCCCTGGTCGTTCTTGTTTCCCCTCTGGTCTCTGTATGTTTATAGAAACTAGGTGAACATTTTTTTTTGTCTTGAAGTTTGATGAAACTTCCCATAGCTACAGTAAATTGCGTCAGAGTGCACCATCCTGGACAAGCTCTACTTTAATCACCTTGCGCGTCCTACAAAAGGGTAACTTAAAGCAGAGCCTCTTTACATGATGAAAAGTTTAAATTCTTCCAAACAAACTGAGGAGTATGTTAAAGGTTTGCAGGGACCTTGTAGAGCTCAAACAAAGAGTTCTTTTTGTTGTTTCACATTTTTCTCTTAAAAAAAGAGAAACTTTTTATATTTTCTCTTTGGAAACTTAAAAAAAATGATTTATTTGACATCATATTGGGTTGACCCATACTTGGAACAAATACAAAGTGCAAGAACTTTCCGAGGAAAATTGTAGATTTACACAAGCTGCTTCAGTACTTCGAAATAATTTCTGAACTGCTGTGGTATGCAGAACCATTCATTTTAACAGTTGTAGTGAATGACATGTTAATAAGATGTATCTGGCCTGTGCTGACTTCTGGGACCATTACACAAACAGTCGACCTCAGATGAAAGATAACTGGTTAGGTTGTTCAGGAACCACCACATTTCTGGCCTTCCGTGAACTGGAAAAATCTGGATCACTTCTGATATTGCTCTTGAACAAAATGATGTAAACACACAAGCATTCTGCTATAAAATCAATCTGCAACTGCTGAAATGCTCTCTGAAGAAATATTATAATAGAAGTATGACTGCAGGAGCAAATGTCATTCTTTCAAGCCAAAGAACAGTGTTCCAGTGGTCTTGCTAGAGAAGCATCATTAACTCCATTAATTTTAACCATTTGGATGAATGTCTAAATATTCAGCAATATTTATACCAGAAGCTTGTTGATGGCTGCAAAAACGATGTAGTTTAGGTCCAACGTTCAGTGAAATGTATGCAGTGGTGGGAATGTTTGACCCTATGAGGATCAGAAAAATCCCATTATAAATTAAAGTCTCAACATACAGATATCATCTTTAAAATCCATCAAAAGTTCTTGTGTAAAATTGTTCTACCATAAAGAAAATCAGTCCAAAATTGACTGGATGTGTTCGGTGCAGTTAATCATGTGATGAAGCACTGAGAGAGACACAGAGACCAATTTACAGTCCAACAGCAAATGCAGACGTAGAGACTGTTTTCTGAAGGACAAACATTTCATCTCCCTGCTGCTTCAGCATAACTGTCAGCCTCTCTAAACGTGTGTTCTGGGTTTATGTATATGCTCACATTCTTCCTCATCGATATATTCCAGTTTAAAGGCTCCCTTACCCTGTGTCCTCTACACGTCCTTTCCAGTATAGATAGTTGTTAGCACTAACCTTGCATGTTATCACACTGTATCTGGTTTTGGGTTTCTTGCCATTCTGATGTATGGAGGGAATGCGTGTTCAGTGAGGCATCTGGCTAGAGGTTCAATTTACATGACAGCTCATGTACATTCAGGGTCAGTTCAACTGGCTATTTATTTCTATTTTTCGTCATACTACATTCATATCTTGAAATGGACACAAATGGCAAGTCATTTCTGTTTTCAAAAACACTAGATGTGACAGAAACTTATTTGGGTTTTTGAAAGGCCTGTATTTACAGCAGTAAATCTCGACATGTATTATTGTAATTTTTTAATGCAAATAGTTTTGTTTTTCTTGTGAATGAAATGTGGTTTCTTGTAAAACTCTTCATATGTCAGCATAAACACACCAACAACACTTGAAAAAAATCCCACAAAGAAGTTTCAGGGATTCTGTCTGTGGTTATAGAGCACAGCACGAGGGTGTTGATTTGACAGCTTACTCATATTATTGGAGCCTTTAGCCTAATCTGTGGATTTGGATGAACTGTTTTTATAAAGGTAGTAATAAATTCACTAAAAATACAGTTAAATGAAAAGAGAATACATTGGTATTATTTGATGAATGTAATTATCACAAGCCTCATTGCTTGTTTCTTCCTGAAACTGTCCTTGTTTCACACATGTCATGATGACATTAATGACCAAACCATGGAGCTCTTTTGACCCATCAGCTACTGAAGCATTACATTGTACCGTAGCCATTTGTGGACAGCTACAGAAAAGATATAATAGATGTAATGATTCCATTTCTTTACATTCATTCCTCCTAAGGCTCAACTCTACAGATGTGGGAAAAGCTTAGGGTCACTCAGCATTGAGGATTTCCTCTCAGTGAGCAAGAGTAAAGGTTGTACTGTCCCAAAATCTTACCTCCCCTTCTCTGTGCCACGGTCTCCCATTCTGAGGATACTTGCTCTGGCTTTGACGTTTCTTCTGCCCTCCGTCTGCGAATTTGCACAGCAAAGGCTCCGTGGGGGCTGCAGAGAAAGAAGAACGAAGGTCAAAGACATTTTAGAAGGATGGCATCTTGTGACCCTGTAGAAAGGCAAATGCCTTTTTGAACCCGATCTCCTTTTCTTTACTTCTGCCATGGTGTTTCTTTTTTTGGCTTATTCCGTTCCTCTTTCCTATGTCCTATGGAGCTGCGAGACAAATTCCCAGGTTGACAAGGTTGGCAGGCCCTCCCTGTCCTTGCTCCGGCTGGCAGCCCATGAAAGAGCATTGCCGGGTATTGTTGAAATAATAATCACAGTAATCGCGCTTGTAAATACCTCTTAGATGGTAATGGAAGACGGCTCTGTCAGCCAAAGCTTTTTTTTTTCTCTAGAAGACGTTCTTGTTCTTGAAACATAATCGCTGCTCGCTTTACCATAACAGCAGTCTTCTCATTTTGTTGAAATTTTATGTATTTTCCACTCAGTCTCAGGACCTCATTGCACTGTACTGATTAACTAAAGTTGAGTAACACCATTAACTCAGCTGTTCTTTTTGCTAACCCCAGAGACAGTCTCTCCATTTTAAAAATTATGAGAAAAAAAAAACGATTGTCATGTAAAATTCCTTCCGAGACAGCAGCTGTCTTTCACCAGCAGCAGGAAACCATGACAAAGCTCAAGTTAATTTATTGAAAACTAAAAAAAAAGTACTGTTGTCTCTCTATCAACAGCTTTTTGTGCACATAATTACCAGCAAAAGGTCAATGAAAATGATGACCTATGCTGCGTTAAAGTACCCTCTCAAAGGGCACTTTCTCACGCTCGTGCTGCAGGTGAGCACTGACAAAGGCAAAATTAGATTCAGATAGATGAGATAGCATAAAAAAATAAAAAAAACTCAGAAGAAAGACATTCTCAGGGAAAAGAAAAAAAGTTGGGAAGGAGATGGGGGAGCATGAGAAACTAACGGCTTTCTTGGCTGCGGACCAGACGGTCTTGACAAGATCTGTCCCCCTCTTTCAGTTTGTGTCAACAACAGAATCCCTTCAGAGGCTGAGAGAGGAGATGAGAGAAGGGACACGAGCTTGTGGTATGAAGCCAACAGAAATGTATAATTACTAAAACAGAAAAGACAAAACAAAATAAAAAAGACAGAGAAAAAAGATCAAAGAGATCCAAAAGAAAAAAAACTATGAGGAAGGAGAGATCGCTTGAAACATCTGATTTTAAGCTGCAATGCACTACAATTCAAACAGTTTAAATTAACCAAAAGAAAATGAAAGACAAAGTTTCTGTAATCATATTGCTGCATTTAGGACAATTGGATGAACATTGTCAGCGTGGAGATTTAGATTTATTTATTGTGTCACAAAAGTAACCGATGTCTATGTGCGAATAAATGTTCAAGAAGATGTTAGACCCATCCCAAGCTTTCAAATTTTAAAACAATAGAGAGAGTAAAAATATTTTCAAGTGGAATCAACACACCACGTTATTTAATTGTTTTTAAATTTAGCTCAAAATTATTCTTGAGTATTTCTTGTATTTCTAGTATTTCTTGATCCCTGCATTTTTTACAAATCCAACAATTAAGGATAAAGGACGATGCACCATGCCACATAGCGCAACATCAAACTGGGTTCTTGAACATGCAAATCATTCACTTTACTCCAGACAGCATTCACAGAAATCAGATCTCAATTTGACAGAACCTGGAGTGGAACAATCACACTGTGGATGTACAGCCAACCAACGTGCATCAGCTACATGACGTGTCGATCTGAACCAAAATGTCTGATGAATGTCTCCGACAACTTGTCAAATCTGTGCCATAAACAACTATATCATCTCTGAAGGCAATAGAAGCTCCACCCTGGATCTAATGATTTGTTTTATGCAACAGGAAGCATCATAGACAATACATCATTTAGCTCTTCAATTGCCCTTTGCTTCTTTCTATTAGGACATACACAAAAAGGGCTTTTGATATTTCTACATACCAGCCAAGAGGATAAATAGTGTGACTGTAGTTTTAGATGGAAAACAAGCTTCTCCAGACTCTAACCCACTGCTGCTCAGCACCTGGTGGCCTATTGGAGCAACCTGACAACCTTCCTGTCATCGCATTCACATTATAGGCCGGGCAGCTCATAATGTGGCTGCACTGTGAGGAGCTGCCTGCAGGAGGTAATGCAACCTTTCATCAAGTCAAGGCAGTGAGAATTTTTTTTTTTTTGTTGTCATTTTAATCTTTGCTTGCAGATGCTAAAGGTTGCTGGACCTCAGTAATAGCACTGCATCATATGCATGCAGTAAAATAAGTTTTGTTCAGTATAAAGCAATGCAGATGAAGATGTAGAATGAGACTTTTCCAGTTCATTGCAAGATTTGAGCATCAAAACACTTCTATGTCAGAACTGCAGTTGGAGAGTACATTTAATTATTTTTGGGGTTTCATTGTAGCATTCAAGATAATAATAAAAAAAAACTGTTATTACCTATGTGTTAATGCAGCCCTCAGCTAACCTATCAAGATTAAACTTTTCAGAGTCAGCTTGGGAGAATGTAGCAACAAAGGGAGTGTGTGGAGGGGCTTCAGAAAAAAAACTAAAAAAACCCCAAAAGCTTTTCCAAACCTCTCCTCTGGCACTCAGGGAGATAATTAGCTATTGGAGAAATTTAGAGAATCTGACACAGAGCAGGCTGACCTTCCCTGTGTGACTACATTCCCAGTTCCCACAGAGGAATGGCCAATTTGTTTAAGACTGAAGCTCAAGATCAACAGCTTCACACCACCCCACCCACTCTGTGAACACACTCACCCCTCTGTTGCCCTGACACACACTTACATGCACATACACCCTATTTCTGCTCTTAAAGTCTCTCTGTACTATTACACACGCACACACAGTGAGAGAAGCACAAAAAAACAAGCACCACACAGAAAACAGAAAGTCATCATTGGCAGAGGTAAGACCACTATGCCGCTAATGTTATGCCTTTGGCCCAAAACCTTCAAGTGGAACACATTTCACCTTATAAGTGGAAAAAAATAGAGGTGCAACAGGGGGCTGCTTAAAAAAACTGTTATGGACCCATTTTCTTTTTCCATTTAACAATATTAAATCATTGGAGAAAGATGTGAAGTACTTTTGGTTGGAGGTTAACAACTGCTGCTAACAAGGTCCTCCATGGGAAGCCCTAATTGTTTTTCATGAGGGTTGCCTTAGGAACCTGTAAGTAAATTAATGAGGAGTGAGCACAAACATGAACATTGGCATCTGGGCAATGGTGAACACACTGCAACACTAACCACTATTCACGTGCACACAAAGGAGGAGAGGTCCAAAGTGTCTTACTTTCCCTCACTATTCTATTTTTTCTTTATTTTTTTACATGTGTTACTCTTTTTTAACGTCTGGTACTGACTAAGCAACTAGTGTCAAGCAAAGAGAAAAATATTGAAGAACATTTTAAATGCCTACAACTCTAAGTAGAGCTGGAAGGAACTACATGTCAGATGTAAAATGTTGTCATCAGGAAAACTGTTTGTTATCCACTTCAAAATGATGACTTTTATTCCTACATAGAATATTGTTGTAATTTAATTTCAAACTGGTTCTGGTCTTAATGCAACAAACGTGGCAACACCCTGAATCAACCGACCAATTAATCTTCCCAACTTTTACATAGCTGATGGGAAGATGGATGAAGTGAAATATAGAATAATCCTGGGAGAAAACCTGCAAGAGGACACAAAGGACTTAAGACTGGGGAAGAGGTTCAACTTCCCACAGGACCACAACCCTAAACATACAGACAGCACTGCAGAGCTAAATCCAATTGAGAAACTGTGGCAAGATTTAAGAATGAACGTTAAATTCTATTCATCCTGTATGACTGAGCTGGAGGCATTTTGCAAAACTGTCAAGCCGTTTGATGTGCAGCTGGAACATATCTACTCCATAATACTGAAGAGTTCTAATTGCATAAAAAGAGTTTCTACAAGGCCAACTACAAAGTCACCAAATTTCACATGATATCCCAACAAACCACCTTGAAGCTTGTGGTTCTAACAACACAGATGAAAAGGGTTGCAAGCCACAATAAGATGTTGTGAGATGCAATGACTGCAGACTTGTGCATGTGGTTTTGAAGAGATAGGCTTTCCGCTTATCAAGGAACATTTCCACAAAGCACAATGAACCACAAAGTATGCACTGATATACTTCTGCCATCGAAAGAGTAATCACAATGAGGACTTGACTGAAATCTTATTTTAAGTTTCTCTTCTTTGCACAGGGTGCAGCTATAAGTATTGCTGTTACTGTTGGTTCTTGTTGGCCGGCATCTGGTCAAAATCAATACTTTTCTCTTCGGTTCAGGCAGATAAAGAGGGAATATGCTCTGGATCATTTCACAAAGGCCAGCTGAATCCCATCTTGATCCATGAATGCAAATCAGCACATGTATTATAACACATCACTTGAGGCGCCGTAAATTCACTCGCACGCTCTGAATAGGACTGTACATCTGTTTGGCCTGAATGGTGAAATCAATGCAGGAATGCCCCAGATTTGAGGAGCAGCTGAATAAAAGGTTTTGCGCAAAGAAACAGCCAGCTTTTCAATCTCATGACAGTTACAAAAGAGGCCTCTCACAAGCATTTGGAGTCAAACTGGGCTGGGCTTGCTCCACTCCTCATGCGTCCAGAGCTAAAAAGGGCAAACAGAGAGAAGTGTTCAGTTGCTTCCCCCAAAATATACGTCAGTCTAAGAAGCTACAGAATAAAGAAGCTCTCAGTTTCTCTATCACTTTAGTTATAGAGTACTGTGGGTGTCTAGTTAAATGTGTGATGAGCTAAGTGTCTCTGAAAAGTCCTTGGATATCTCGCTGTGTTTTGCTGCAAGGACATGTATAGTGAGATCATGAAAAAGTAGGGAAGGAGACATTACTTTATTGGAATTCTGCTGCGCTCTGACGCTGCTTGAGGGGATCTCTAATTGGATCAACAACTGTCCGATTCCCATCAGCCGGATTGA